CCGATCTTGGATTCGCCAGCCGCTGTGGCTGCGTGAATCAGGAGAAGCCCCCAGCCTGACCCACGACCTGGGGACGTTCCAGCCTCTACAAGCACTTGAGCCATTTCCTTGATATAAATCTCTCTCTATATATATTTATACTTTTCACTGGTTTTGCTTCTGTAGAGAACCCAGGTCTTTTCTTTTCAACCTGAAGGATACCCTTCAGCATTTTTTGTACAGCAAGTCTTGTGGTAAAAAATCCTTAATCATTTGCTTATTTGAGAATATCTTGATTTCTGCCTCATTTTGAAGGACAGTATTTCCAATTATAGAATTCTTTGTTGACAGTTCTTTTCTTTCAGCACTTTAAATATGTCATTCCAATGTCTCTGGCCTCCATGGTGTCTGAGGAGAAATTGGCACTTAATCTTATTTGGGATCTTTTGTATGTGACTATTCATTTCTCTCGCTGCTTTAAGGATTCTCTTTTTAGCTTTAGTTTTTTGAAAACTTCAGTATACTATGTCTTGGTGTGAGTCTTTTTGGGTTCAATTTATTTGGAGTTCTTCAGGCTTCTTGGATTTGTAGATTCATGTCATTTTTCAGAGTTGGAACATTTTCTGTCATTATTTCTTAAATATTCTTTCTGCCCCATTTTCTCCTTCTGGGATTCCAGTGATGCATTCCCCTCTGCCTTTTTTTTAAATTTTGTTGTTGTTGAGAATATACACAGCAAAATATACACCAATTCAACAGTTTCTACACGTACAATTCAGTGACATTGATTATATTCTTTGAGTTTGTAACCATTCTCACCTTCCTTTTCTGAGTTGTTCCTTCCCTATTAACATAAATTCACTGTCCCTTAAGGTTCCTATCTAATCTTTTAAGTTGTTGTCATCAGTTTGATCTCATGTAGATAGTTCTTAAAAGAGCATAATGCTCAAGGTAGACATCTTTTACTAGTTAAACTAAACTATTGTTTGGTTTTAAGAAGACTTCAGGGGATATTTTTGGTTTAAGGTTTCAAGATTATCTCAGGACAATAGTTTCAGGGGTTCTTCAACCTTCATGGCTTCAAGATATCTGGAGTCCATGAGAATTTGAAATTCTCTTCTGCATTATCCCCCTTTTGATCAGGATTCTTCTATGGAACCCTTGACCAAGATGTGCAGTAATGGTAACTGGGCACCATCCAGTTCTTCTGGTCTCATGGCAAAGGAGGCAGTTGTTCATGGAGGCAGTTAGTCACATGTTCCATATCCTCCTCCTATTCCTGAGTATCCTTCTTTCTCTCTTGTTCCACGTAAATAGAGAACAATTGCTGTGCCTTGGATGGCTGCTTGTGAGCTTTTAAGGCCACAGGCACTACGCAGTATGATGTATTTTCTGTTTCACTTGATGGTATCCCACAGTTCCATTAGGCTATGCTCAGCATTCTTAATCCTTTTCTCTTGTTGCTGTCCAAGCTCAATAATTTTGATTACCTTATCCTCTAGTTTGCTGAGTCTTTTTCCTGCTAGCTCAAATCTGCTGTTGAGTCCTTCCAGTGAAGGAATATATATATATAGATACAAATATAAAGGACGAACATTTTACTAACAGACGTCAAATATGAACTGTACCTAACTGTTCTGACTTACTTACAAATTTGACCTAAAGACAGATTTAGGAATGGAAATCATTGGTAATTTGGGGACTGCCTGTAACATTCATAGTTGAGAAATTAATCTTATATTAAACGGTATGGGAAAAAACAATTAAAAAAAATTTCAGCAAGGTCATGGTATTCATTGTTAATTTTTATTCAGAATGAGGTGGTAGATGCTATATTTCAAAATTCAGCTTCAGTCCTTTTTCAATAGCCAGTTTCAGCAATTTATCCTATAAAGTTATAATTAAATTTCAACTATCTTTTGATGAAAGAAATGGATTTCAGATCCATGAATTTCCTATGTGTAAATCTTTATTGATGGAAAATGAAATGCACAAGGTCTTATCAAATTCGTAAGGTGATAACTTTTTGCAGATGTATAATTTCAAGATTACCCCTTACTTCATTGATATTTGTTGTAAAATTGTGGAACACATCACAATTTCTTGAATCTCTGTTCTTCTAAGCATCTAACTTTATTTTTGCCCTTTAATCTTATCCACGTTTGAAAACGCGTTGCATTCTTTAATACCTCCTAGCATAGAAGTATTAAGTTCATTGAAAATATTGAAGAAATCGGACAAATATTTAAGTCTGGCTGTCTAGTTCACATCTTAAAAAGTTTCTGAAACACTGAGCATTCATTCCATAGTTCAGAATTCTCTACAGAACTTCCCCTTCAATAAGAGTTATGCCACAGCATGTAATAATAGCTGTTTATGATTAGTTTCTGTATCATCACACGATACAGAGAACATTCTTGAATTGAATGCATTAGCTTTTATGTAATTTACATTTTCTATTATGCATAGTATGTGGTTTAGCTGACATTTTTTCAGCAGTGTAAACAATGCATTCATTAGCATTCTGGCACAAGTTCCTTCATCTAGGTAACTATTCCAGAATGTTTTCCCATCATTACGGCTACCTACACAAACTCCAAACCACGTTTGTAGCGTAATCCTTCATAGTTTTATTCAGTTCAATGCTTAGTTACACTTACTGATTATGAAGCTGAAAGAAAGTATTTTTTTATTATCAAGTTTATCACACATTTACTAAAAGAATTTTTGTGTTATGGTTTGCATTTTGTCCCCCTAAAATAATGTGTTTGAATCCTAACCCCAGTGCCTACAGATAGGGGAACCCTGGTGGCACAGTAGTTAAGCGCTCGGCTGGTAACTGAAAGGTCGGCAGTTCGAATTCACCAGGAGAAAAGACCTGATGAACTGCTGCTGTAAAGATTACAGCCTAGGAAATTCTTATGGGCAGTTCTACTCTGTCCTATAGGGTCGCTGTTAGTTGGATTCTACTCCATGGCACACAACAACAACATACTTGTGGATGTAAGCCGTTTGGGAGAAGGGTACTTTGTTATGTTACTGAGGCCATATCAGTTTAGGTTGTACTCTAAACTAAATCATTTCTGAGTGATATAAAGAGTAGCCTATTCACTTAGACAGGCAAACACAAATGGGAGAAAGATTGATGCCACGTGGAGATTACCAGGGAACTTTGCAACACTGGAACTAGAAAAACTGAGACAGGGATTTTCCCCTAGAGCAGATAGGGAAACAGGCTTCCCCGAGAGCCAGTGACCTGAATTTAGACTCCTGGCCTCCTAATCTGTAAGAAAATAAATTTCCGTTCATTAAAGCCACCCACTTGTGGTGTTTCTGTTGCAGCAGCACTAGGAAACTAAGACACTGTATGTTCATGAGGTTTCTGGCTTTGTAGTTTTATAAGTTGTTCTTCCATCTCATGACCTACTTCCTGAATACACTGAGCTATAATGTCACTGGAATGTGGTACTTGAGCTATTTTGTTTAGCTCAGATTCACCCAACATTTCCAAGCAGACATCTTTGCAGCGTTTCAGTAATTTCTTGGCGATTATATATCATTTTTTAGTCTTAGCAAATCCAGTATTTATATGAAACCTACAAAGCAGTAATATTTATATATGAAATACTAAAGATCTGTTTGTGTCTGCTTATTCAGTACTCTTTCATTTAGAAATTCTTTTGCTTTTAAACTTATTCTTAATGTTTTATATGTAAATGCTGCTTAAGTTTTGATAGTTTCATTAGTCAGTACATATATTACGAATATAGACACTGATCTTCATACTTCACTAGCATTTAGGCTACAAAACGAAGCTCTGTATATGAGGTATCATACTTCTGAATAAAAACAGAACAAAACTTATTTTTCCCTTCACAATCCTTTGGAGCATCATCATTTAGTCTACTGCTACTGCCACATTCAAAAAAATTTCTTTTCTTGATGACAAAAGTCCAGTGAAGCTTATTTCATCATCTGTGGATTAGGATTAAAAATAAACAATGCAAATTTACTTCTTTTATTTAGCTAATAGTGTTGAACTATGACTAAAAAAAAAAATCTTTCTTCAAAATTAACATGATTGTAAAAATAAGTTATAAAATAAATAAATGCCTACATTTCCTCAGGTATTTATGTACTTTGGGTTCTAATGAACAACTAAATTTAAAATATCCCAGATTATAATCTGGTTGTACCGTACATGACTAATCTGCAGTTTGCACCAGGAAAGCCCATACACGTGCATGGATGTTGTAACAATGTAAAATTTCTGTAAAACTTCCTAAACGTTTATTCTGAATTTCTATACTTTTTTGTTGTTGTTGGGGATTAGTAACAGTTTGTTAACTGCCAGCAGGCTACAGATCATACTTTGAGTAGCATTGATTTAGGTTGTTTACAGTTTTTTACAAGAACCAGAAATGCTTCCTGAACATCATTTTGCATATGTCATGCTCATACATGAGTTTATCTTAGAATAAATTCCTAGAAGTGGATTACTTGATCAAAGGGTATATATATTTAAGATTTTAGAGATTATTTCCAATTTTTGCCCTCTAAACAGATCCATTTCATTCAGTTAGTGGTATATGAGAGAACCTGTTTCCCCACATTGTTTTAGAAAACCTTTTTATTTTTATATTAAAATAGTATCTACGTAATTGTTTTAGTTTGAATTTTCCAGGTGAAGTTGAGCATCATTTCACTTAGGAACCTTTTGTATATCTTCTTCTGTGAACTGCCTTGTAAGTTTTGCCTATGAGAGGAAGATAATTATTGTTGTTTTTATTGATTTATAAGAGCTCTTTATATGTAAAGAATACTAGCCCTTCATCTGATAAATGTTGCATGTTTTTCCTTAGCTGGTCTGTTTACTTTTAAGTACTGTTTTAAAATAAATGAATACTCTTCAGTGGCTTTAAGCTCTCCATATTCTCTGTTAGCCTTAGAGAAGATAGAGGAGATAGAGAGAATACTACTTTTAGTGGTAGCCACCCTGATGATATTTCTTTCTTTTGCAGCAAGAGCCAGAAGAGGAGAATGGATTGCAGAAAACAAAGATGAAACAGCCGAGTAGAGCAAAGTGTTTGGCTAAAAGGAAAATTGCACGTATGTTTTCATTTTTCTGTTGAGAATGGTTTGGAAATTACAACAGTTATAGAATCAACACTAGTGTTTTCATTAGGAAGAGAGAGTTCTCTGAATAATGATGTATGTGCTTGCTGTTTATTCTAGATTCCATTACAAGCAATTCCTAAAAATTCCTACAGCTTGTACAGTTGACTAGTGGCAGAATATTAAAATGAAAGAATGTGACCTTAGGCACACTTGGGTTTGAAACCTTGCTTCACAACCCTTACTGTGTGTATCTTGGGTAAGTCACTGCTTTCACCCTACTGTTTCCTCATCAGTAAGATGCAGATAATAACACTTGCTTGGAAAGTCACTTAGTAGAGGCTCAAATCAAAAAGTAAAATTACTATTTTTGCTGTTACAATCCTTTGTTGGAGATTTTGCCTTCTGTATTTATTACTCAATTGTGAAGTCATTTAATAATCACTTATTTTATATTTTAACATGATGTTAAATGTTCAAGTATTTCAGAGAACTTTTTACTGCAATAACTAGTTGGAATTATTACAACAGTTGACTGAAATTGACAAGAATTTCTTTCACTGTTAAATTGAACTGATTTAAGGTATAATTCTTATACTCAGATAATTAACCATTAATAGGTCTTTGTTGTGAAATTACTGCCTTATGTTTGACTGTATGATTAGATCTGTTGAGTATATTTGAGTTGCTTTCAGTCTTGAAGATTTTAGGTAATAGTTACTGTTTGAAATACAATAATCTTTATGAATTTATGGTTAAGTTTTTGTCACCATTGGTAGACTGTTGATAGTTGTCTGCTTGGTTATTCTGGATATTTATATCCTAAGTAGATTTTATTTAGCTGGATCATGCTTTTTTATTCAGTCTGAAAGTCTTTGTCTTTTAATTGGTGTGTTACACATATATATGGTACTTTAGATGAAGGTTTACAGAATAAATCGTTTCTCATTAAACAGTACACATATTGTTTTATGACAGTGGTTAACAACCCGATGACATGTCAACACTGTCCCTTCTCAACCTTGGGTTCCCTATTACCAGCTTTCCTGGCCCCTCCTGGCTTCTCGTGCTTGTCCCTGGACTGTTGTGCCCCATTAGTCTCGTTTTTTTTTTTATGGGGCTGTCTAATCTTTGGCTGAAGGGTGAAGCTCGGGAGTGACTTCATTACTGAGCTAAAAAGGTGTCCGGGGGCCATGCTTTCAGTGTTTCTCCAGTTTCTGTCAAGCCAGTAAGTCTGTTTTTTTTTTTTGTAAGTTAGAATTTTGTTCTACATTTTTCTCCAGCTCTGTTCAGGACCCTCTGTTGTGATCCCTGTCAGAGCAGTCAGTGATGGTAGCCGGGCACCATCTAGTTGTACTGGACTCAGTCTGGTAGAGGCCGTGGTAGTTGTGGTCCATTAGTCCTTTGGACTCATCTTCCCCTTGTATCTTGTTTTCTTCATTCTCCCTTGCTCCCAAAGGGGTGAGACCAGTGAAGTATCTTAAATGGCTGCTCACAGGCTTTCAAGACCCCAGATGCTACTCACCAAAGTAGAATGTAGAACATTTTCTTTATAAGCTGTGTCATGCCAATTGAGCTAGATGTTCCCCAAGATCATGGTCCCCATAGCCCTCCACCCACCAATTCAGTCCCTCAGGGATTTGGATGTGTCTATGGAGCTTCCATGACCTTTCCTTGTACAAGTTGGGCTGGCTTCCCCAGTATTGTGTACTGTCTTACCCTTCACCAAAGTTACCACTTATCTACTGTCTATTTAATTCCTCCCCCCACCCCTCCTATCTCTCATAACCAACAAAGATTGTTTCTTTTTGTGTGTAAACTTTTTCATGAGTTTTACAGTAGAGGTCTCATACAATATTTGTCCTTTTGTGATTGACTTATTTCACTCAGCATAATGCCCTCCAGTTTCATCCATGTTATGAGATACTTCACAGATTCATCATTGTTCTTTATCGTTGCATAATACTCCATTGTGTGTATGTACCATAGTTTGTTTATCCATTCGCCTGTTGATGGGCATCTAGGTTGTTTCCATCTTTTTGCTATTGTGAACAATGCTGCAGTGAACAAAGGTGTGCATATGTCTATTCGCGTGATGGCTCTTATTTCTCTAGGATACATTCCTAGAAGTGGGATTGCTGGATCGTATGGTATTTCTATTTCTAGCTTTCTAAGAAAGCGCCATATCATTTTTCAAAATGGTTGTATCATTTTGTATTCCCACCAGCAGTGCATAAGAGTTCCAGTCTCCCCGCTACCTCACCAACCTTTGTTATTTTCCAGTGTTTTTGATTTGTGCCAGTAATGCTGGGGTGAGATGGTATCTCATTGTGGTTTTAATTTGCATTTCTCTAATGGCTAGTGATCACGAGCATTCCTCATGTGTCTGTTGGCCGCTTGAATGTCTTCTTTGGTGAAGTGTCTGTTCATTTCCTTTGCCCATTTTTTTATTGGATTATTTGTCTTTTTGTTGTAGAGGTGCTGGATTTTCTTGTAGATTTTAGAGATTAGACCTTTGTTGGATTTGTAATAGCCAAAATTTTTTTCTCAGTCTGCAGGTTCTCTTTTTACTCTTTTGGTGAACTCTTTTGATGAGCATAAGTGTTTAATTTTTAGGAGATCCCAGTTCTCTAGCTTTTCTTCTAGAGTTTGTGTGTTGTTGGTTATGGTTTGTATCCTGTTAATGCCATGCATAGGGCCTCTAGCATTGATCCTATTTTTTCTTCTATGAACTTTATGGTTTTGGGGTTTATATTTAGGTCTTTGATCCATTTTGAATTAGTTTTTGTATATGGTGTGAAGTATGGGTCCTGTTTCATTTTTTTGCAGATGGATGTCCGGTTTTGCCAGCACCGTTTGTTAAACAGACTGTCTGTTCCCCATTTGATGGACTTTGGGCCCTTGTTGAAGATCAGGTGACCATAGGTGGATGGATTTATATCTGGGTTCTCAGTTCTGTTACATTGGTCAATGTGTCTGTCGTTGTACCAGTACCAGGCTGTTTTGACTACTGTAGCTGTATAGTAGGTTCTGAGGTCAGGTTGTGTTAGTCTTTCTACTTTATTCTTTTTCTTCAATAGTGCTTTACTTATCTGGGGCTTCTTCTCTTGTCATATAAAGTTAATGATTAGTTTTTCCATCTCTTTGAAGTCTGTTGTTGGTATTTGGATCGGGATTGCATTGTATTTGTAAATTGCTTTGGGTAGAATTGTAATTTTCATGATGTTGAGTCTACCTATCCTTGAGCATGGTGTGTTTTTCCATATATGTAGATCTCTTTTTGTTTCTTGCAGTAATGATTTGTGGTTTTCTTTGTATAGGTCTTTTACATCCCTGGTTAGATTTATTCGTAAGTATTTAATTTTTTTAGGGGCTATTATAAATGGTATTGTTTTCCTGATTTCCTTTTCATCGTTCTCTTTATTGGTATATAGGAATCCAACTGATTTTTGTATGTTTCTCTTGTGTCCTGCTGCGCTGCTGAATCTTTCTGTTAGAGCCAGTAGTTTTCCCATGGAGTCTTTAGGGTTTTCTATGTATAATATCATATCATCTGCAAACAGGGACAGTTTAACTTCTTCATTACCAATTTGGATGCCGTTTATTTCCTTTTCTTGCCTTATTGCTCTAGCTAGGACTTCCAGCACAGTGTTAAATAGGAGTGGTGATAAAGGGCATCCTTGTTCCTTGTCTTGTTCCTGTTTTCAAGGGGAATGTTTTCAGCCTCTCTCCATTAAGAATGATGTTGGCTGTTGGTTTTGCGTAGGTGCCGTTTATTATACTGAGAAATTTCCTTTCTATACCTATTTTATTGAGAGTTTTTATCAGGAATAGGTGGTGGACTTTGTCAAATGCCTTTTCTCCGTCAGTTAAGATGATCATGTGATTCTTTTCTTTCCTTTTATTTATGTGGTGGATTACATTGATTGATTTTCTAATGTGGAACCATTGTTGCATACCTGGTAGGAGTCCTACTTGGTTGTGGTGTATTAGTTTTTTGTTATGTTGCTGAATTCTATTGGCTAGAGTTTTTGCATCTATATTCATGAGAGATATTGGTGTGTAATTTTCTTTTTTTGTGGCATCTTTGCCTGGTTTTGGTATCAGGGTTATGTTGGCTTCATAGAATGAATTCGGAAGTGTTACTTCCTTTCCTATGTTCTGAAATAGTTTGAGTAGTACTGGTATAAGCTCTTCTCTGAATGTTTGGTAGAATTCTTCAGTGAAGCCATCTGGGCTAGGGTTTTTTTTT